TCTGAAATTAATCATCCTTGCCTGCTGTAGTAATTCCTTCAGTGTGGTAAGTTGGGTTTTTTATTTCAACTTTACTTTGGGTGCGAACTGCATTTACTCCCCCCATAAACTGTTTTCTTTATGAGTTTGATATCCAGCCGAGGATAATTGGACATTGAGGCCGAGTTGGAGGCTTTAAAGGGTCTTTCTTCTATTTTTGTGAATTGGTTTTTTGTGTGTCACGCCCTGGGTCATCACACCTCTTTAGAGCATTTTTTTTCTAGAAAGGTTTTGTTTTGCTTGCTTTTGTTTTGTACTTTGCAAATGTTGAGCTACCCTGAAACCTGCTAGTATGCCTTTCTTGTACATGGGTGTTTACTTTTTTGAGCTCCTGATGGAATGTTCCTCAGAAATTTTTATGTTGTTATATAAACATACATTCTCTTGATTATTGTTTGGTTCAGTGCACAATTTTGTTATTACCGGTTCTGTGGGCGTGGCTTGGTGGGTGTGGCAGGGGAAGGATACTGTAAAATCTCCAATCAGAGGTGGTATTTGCCAGTTCTCTGAACTACTCAAAATTTCTACTGCTGGTTCTCCAGAACTGGTCAGAACCTGCTGAATACTACCTCTGATTATAACTCTTCCCTTTTTTGTTTTTATTTTCCTTTGTGCATTTACAGAAGCATTGTAATCAGAATTTACAGAATACAGGAAGCAATACTTCCATTATTCTTCATGCTAAATAAAGCACACTTGATGTCTTGGGTCCTGTTCTTGACATCAGAACTGAGAGGGGTCATGGTGAAGGTGGAGCAGGTTCAGAAGGGCTGCTAAAATGGTGAGGTATCTAGAAACTGAATCCTGCAAGGAAGTAGTAGGATCTTGATATATTTAGCCTATAGAAGACATTTATAGTAGCAGGCTTCACATTTCTGAAGGTTATCATATGGAAAAGGAAGTAGGCCAGAACTAAAATTATTCAGCCTGCAGGCCTTGAGTTTGATACCCCTGCCATAGACAGTAAATTAATAGCCATCAACCTCTCTTGTGGAAGTGATGTTCATAAGGGTAAATATTGTGGGGTATGAGGAAGTCTTTTTATCTTCTGAATCTTCTGTCAATAAGTTTTAAGAGTAGACATCAAGTTCTAGAGTTATGAGTATATTTCTTCCTTATACCGTATTTGCCGGCGTATAAGACGACTTTTTTGCCCTAAAAAACATGCCTCCAAGTGGGGGGGTCGTCTTATACGCCGGTAAATACATTGTCACTCGGTGCAAGAGCGACGGGGGCGGAGCTCCGCAACTTGCGAAGCCCCTTCAAGCCCAGCCGAAGTCTCTCTTCCTCCTCCTCCTCCCACCCACCCACCCACCCTCCGCCCGGCTCGGGGCGCTTGCGGAGGCCAATCTGGAGGTGGGGTGGGGGTGGAGCGGGAGGGTCTCTGGCGGGGCCGCTTCGCCCAGCCAGCCCCGAGCCGCGTAATGGCCCGGGGAGTGGGGGGGGAAAAGGTGGTGGGGGTGGACTGTGGCGCCCCTCCTTCTGGGCAGCGGGGCGGGGGCGGCAATTTGCTCCTCCCGCTTCTCCCTCCCTCTTTGAAAGACCGGGAGGGCTGTGCTTGGGGCGGGGGGGGGTGTCCTCAGGAAGTTCCTGATGGGACCCCGCTGGGCAGGACCACCCGGCTCCCGAGCTGCTTTCCAGGGTCCCCTTGGGAAGAAAAGGGTCCGGTGGGCGGTGGAAGAAGGCGAGCGCCCTCCTCCCGCCCCCTGTCCCGTCCCGTCCCTCCTCTTGTCCCCTCCTCCCCTCCCCGCTTAAGAGAGAAAGATCTGCCTCCCCTGCACCGAGCTTCCACCCGGCGCCGCGTCTCCCGGCCAGCGCGCGCTTGCGACTTGGGAACCGGCCAAGCGACTTTAAAACCGAGCGGAGGCCAGAGATAGCCGGAATTACCCTCCACACCACACACACACACACACACACAGAGAGAGAGAGAGAGAGAGAGTTGGCAGCTGTCCATCCCCCACCCTTGGAGTCCCGATGGCACGCACGCGGGGGCTGTCACAAAGAAAGGGAGAGGAATTGAGTGCCAGCCTGAGAAAGGCGAAGCTGCCTCTCTAAAGCATTTTGGTGGCTTTGTAAGTTTGGGGGAAAGGGGTTGGGGGTGTCAATCAAGAATTATATCCAGAATACCCCAAGTGTTACAACTTACCGTATTTGCCGGCGTATGAGACGACTTTTTTGCCTTGAAAAGCATGCCTCCAAGTGGGGGGGGGGTCGTCTTATACTGCGAGTATATAACAAAAACTATATTTTGAGTGGAAATGTTGGGGGCTCGTCTTATACGCCCAGTCGTCTTATACGCCGGCAAATACGGTAGTTTGTCTTCTAAATTCATTATTCTTGGCAAATAGTCTTGGCAAATAGTCATCTTCATTGCTAGTTATTTGTCTTCTCCCTAGCTTGATTATTTCAGTGATGAAAATATTGCCATTTTCATGCTTTAAAGGCTTAAAAAACTTTCAAAACATCTAATGGACTCTGAAAAGGTTATTCAATTCTGGCGCTCTGAATATTGATTATTAAGATACAAAAGAACTAGTTTGGTAATGCATTGCTTGAATTTATGGCTGATGCATTATACATTATTTTTTGAATATTATATTGTAACTATCTTTGTGATCTTGTATTTATATCTGTTTGCATATTGAATGCTTCCTAAAGGCCTTTATCCTGGTTTATATATAACGTCGACCAAGAATTTTTAAATCCTAGTATGCTGACCAAGATTGTTTAGGCTATTACCGTGTTTCTCACAAAATAAGGCCAGGCCTTATTTTTTTTTTGAGCCCCGAAAAAACAGCTAGGATGTCTTTTCAGGGGTGACTTAATTTCTCCCCCCCCCCTGCGCACCAGCGCTGTCTCCAACAACAGCATCTGAGTCGCTCCCGCTTTTCCCCGGTCCCTGTAACAACAGGAAAAAAAAGATTTTGAGGTACCTGGGAGCGCCGTCTCCAACAACAGCGGCAGGAGCGGCAGGAACCGTGGAAGCGTTTCAGCCGCTTCTCGGGTGGGGGAGCCGCCTCCGTAACTTCCACAGTTCCCGCCGCTGCTGCCACTGTTGTTGGAGATGGCGCTGGCGAGAGAGGGACAGCTGCAGCTCGGCCTGGGCGCTTGGAATGCAGGAACGGGCTGCGCACCGGGACTTTTGCAAACGTGCAGAGCCCAAGGCTGGAGCACCAAGGGTAGCAGCAGCAAAGACACTCGCTCGGCTCTTCTCATGCCCACCCAGCTGCTCAGGATTAAACCAAAACGCAGCGCGTGGCGCTCCCAGGTACCTCAAAATGTTCTTTTTTCCCTGTTGTTACGGGGACGGGGGAAAAGTGGGAGCGACTCAGACGCTGTTGTTGGAGACGGCGCTGGCGAGAGAGGCGCCAGCACCAGTGGGAACCGGGGAGGCTACGGAGACCTGAGAAGCGGCTGAAATGCTGCCGGACATCCACGCCAACGACGCCCACCTGCTGACCAGGATAAGGGAGGGGTAAGGAAGCCCTCCATGCTCCACCATGATTGGCTGTTAGGAGCAGCTGATGGTGAGGCGTAGCTGTCCGCGGGGCACTCCTAATGGCAAGTTCCCCCCCGCCTCCCCCCCAATTTCGCATGTTTTAAACTAGGCCCAAATTTGGGGGGAGGGGCTTAATTTCATTTTATGCCTAGAAAACATGCTGGCTCTTCCTATTGGGGGGGGCGCGTATTGTTGGAGAACCATGGTACTAAGTTACGGTTGTTAAATTTGCATGAAATCAAAAATGATGATTTGTGTGCATTCTAATGCCACTTAGTATGAAAGCTGACTGGGTAATTTGGGCCAATCATTCTCCCTCAGCCTAACCCACCTCATAGGATTGTTGTTATGGGAAAATAGAGGCAGGGATATTAAATATGTTCATCACCATGAATTATTTATAAAACTAATAGAGGATTAAAAAAATCTAAGGAATAATAACAATAAATATATTGTGGCTTAGAACTAGCTGGAATTTATAAAACTAATAAAGAGGATAAAAAAAAATCTAAACAATAATTACAATAAATATATTGTGGCTTAGGACTAGCTGGAATCAAAATCAAGAAATTTTGGCAAATTTACTCATGTAATATTTGGCCATCTAATTTAGAAGCATTAAGATGGATTGGACTTCAACAGAAGCCTTAGTGACAATGGATATCTGCTGAACTTTAGTACAAAAGTTCGTTTATTCTTAGAATAGAATTACTGATCTTAAAATAACATACCAATTTTTGAATCATGTAAATTAAAAGAGAAATTGTGGAGGATTTGTTTAATATTACCTTTGGGAAGATAAAACCCATTGCCACTCTTATAAGTTTTATAGGTATTAATCACTATGTGGTATATACAAAATTAGTGATAAAAAGATGTGTTAAGTAAGTTAAAATAACAATGACCACTCTTTCATTTACTATGAAATGAAATATGTTCTGCATGTTGGATTAGGCCAGTTGTTGATCACTAGAATTAAATGTTTTAATGGACTAATTATAGCTTGGAATGCCTGTTAGTAACAAAGGTCAATAAACTGAAGAGCACATCCCTACTACAATTTGATATCATTTTTATAATGACATTATCCCATGTGACACAATTTGTATTATTTACATCCTTTATATTGTTAGTGTGATGATGCAGTAAATGATATTTGCAAAATTACATCATTGTACAAATAATATCAATGAATACAGATGGTATCACATGTGTCATGGATGCGATGACATTATACAAAGGGTGTTTATTTGCATAGTGGGGAAATTATGTAAAATATTGAATCTAACGGTGGAATTTGGTTCCTTCCATGCAAGGTCTGTTGCCTCAAGGTTTCGCTATATTGTTACAGCTTTTTAATATACTGTATATCCTATTTTTTCCATAAAGTTTGTATATTTTATTTCCTTTTGATCAAAGTAGTGAATTCTGTAATTAAGTACCATCACTTGTCTTGTTCTAGAACGGTGGCCGCTGAAGTACGGAAACAGATTTCAGGGCAATATGGAGGATCACCACAACTTCTCAAAAACCTTAATATTGGGGGCACAATATCCCACCATACAACTGTAAGTAACTTCTTAGATTTGTAAGCAGCAGGCCCAGTGCATATTACCATCAGATTAAGCTTACCTTTCCAAATTTAAGAACAATTATGTTTTGGTTGTTCATGAATTGCATTGGAATTTGTAGGATTCCAAGTACAAAAGGTATTATTTGCGTAATAGCAAAAGTTGAAGTCAGCGGGAAGTTTTCTGGATTCAATCAGTCTATTTACTGATATTTGGAATGTGCAAGATTATACAGCATTGTTGTTTGAGTTTGGGGTTTTTATTTCTGTCCTGTAAAATGCAATTTGTTTATTGTTAACCAATTAAACAATAATGGCCACAATAACAATAGGCTTTGTTGAGCAAGGGGGCATGCCAATGCATATTAGAACTTTGATTTGGTGTGTGGGTTCTTATGTCCAATTTTTCTCTAATCAAATTAGATAGGGAATCTTAATTCCTAACCCCTAAAAATCAGGAGGTTTGCATTGAATGTGGGTATAAGAATGTTACCTATCTAATCTCTATTCTAATTAAACATAAATTGGTATGCTCATGGAGTTACTAGCAAACATGAAGACTTCTAGGATACAATATTAGCCATTTATTTAGAATTCTATTTAGGAAGCTATTAAAAATTAAATTGGTGTCATTTGAATAGCCCCCTAGAAAAAGAAAGGTAGCAGTGTGTGCGTGTGCGCACAGTGATTACGGTACTAATTTCTACAATAAAATCTTTATACAAGTTTGCTACTTTACTGGAATCCTATGTCACTTGTACAGTTTCTGTACATTTCCAGTAAATGAATAGAGGGAGCTAGCAATCCTGACTTTGCTTGCTGATAAATTTAGCAGCTCCGTTGTTATAAATCAGGTTTTATATTCTGGATGTTCCTCTTTAAAAGAATACCTACCCAGAATGAGAATAAGGTTACGTATAGTCAGTTTCTTAATCCCACTGAATTCTTTAATTGCTAGCAGTTGGGTTGTGCGTTCATGCTTAGTTCATGTAATCTGTGACAGGACAGTAACTTTAATGGATGGCCTACTCATATACTATTATATGGTAGACTGCAAATCACCTGACAGATAATGTAAAAGTCAGATAGAAATTAAATGAAAGGCAGTGCATTTGTTAAATCTTGTTTTATTGAAATATGAAAAGGTCAACGACTCTTACTCTTTTCTTTCATTTCTGAGACATTTCTTTGAACATTTGCTATTGCCCAGTGGGGTACGAGAATTAGAGCAAGATTTATCAAGAGGACTGATGAGAATTCATTCTGTCTATTAAAAGAAGTTCATTCTTTTCAGCAGAGTTGTGGCTATTCTACCAGCAAGGGAAAAAGAAAATCGATCGATTGGGTGAGATTTTAGGCCCCAATTATTTGATGGATTGTGAACTGGTTAAGAATTGTGTCTTGATACATTTCAGCATGTGAGGAAGTCTTGCTGAAGTACCATGTCTTAATTAAAATATAAAAATTTATAGCCTGCTCTGGATTTAGATTGGTTGGGATTAAAAGAATGAAATGAAATAACTTACTGGTATCAGACAGAATACAGTTTCCAAAGCTTTTGCAAATAGTTCTGGTGACATTTCTAAATGAATTTGCTTCAATTCTTATCAGACAAGTGCTTCCTAAGAGCTACTTCAAATGATGAGCTTGAAGATATGCTGCTGCCTATTTGTCTGTTTTGTGGTTCCACACTCAAAAGTTATAGAAAATGAAGAAGCTAAAACGTTCAAACAAATAAGCACCTGCCACATGATACTTCAGAGTTAACATAGAATTAACAATTGTTGATAAGAAAGACAAAAAAGTCTGGTTAGTGGAGGTTTCACAGTACCGGTAGACAGCAAAATAAAAGAGAGAGAACTGGAGAAAAATAATAAAATATGAAGACTTGCAAAGAAAGCTAAAATAATACCAATTATAAGAAGCACCATGGATGTAATCCCAAAATATCTGTAGTACCACCATTGGCATTAACAATGTCATAATCAGTCAATTACAAAAGGCAGCTTTACTTGGAACAGCTTACATCCCGTGCTGATACATTTCATATTATTTAACAACATCTGACTGCCGGGTCTTTGGAAAGGATTTAATTGTTGGACAAAATGCCAAATCCAATCTAAACATCTGGATGATGATGATGATGATAAAGATAAAGAAAAGCTTCTGATGGCTGCAGAATTAATGAGTGGAAACTGGAATATATTTGTACATCTTTAATTATATTTCGGTATATTAAACAAATAGAAATCTTTGGCATGCTGGCTCCCCACAGTGAGTCTACCAACCAGAAAGTTAACTTCATTTTTCTAAAGTAGGAAATTACTCCCTTATTTTAGTACCTATAGTTACCAAAAGTATAGGTTAATATGCTGTTTTTGTTCCAATGTGGTAATCATAGTTTCCAGATTTTGATGGCATGAGAAACAAAGGTAATTAAAGGTTTCCTCATTTAATTGGAGCTTGCACAAAACCAGACATGATATTCTTCCGATTAAAATTGGAATTCCGATTTTTTTGGGAATCGCCGCGAGCGGAGCCCGGGCGGGCAGGCGGTGCGAGCGGCAGGCGGTGCGAGCGGCGGGCGGTGTGAGTGGAGCCTGGGCGGGCGGCGGGCGGTGCGACCGGCGGGCGGTGCGAGCGGAGCCCGGGCGTGCGGTGCGAGCGGCGGGTGGTGTGAGCGGAGCCCGGGCGGGCGGGCGGTGCGAGTGGCGGGCGGTGCGAGCGGAGGCCGCTGAGCGGCAGGAAAAGGGAGCTGGGCAGCGATTTCTTGGCGCGCGGTGGGGGGTCTCTTTTGGCCGGCCCTGATTTTTTTTTCAGAGGGGAATATCATGCCTGCACAAAAGAAATAGATTTCTAGCAAAAGTTTTTTTCTAAAAAGCAAACAAACAAATCTCTTCAGCTTTGAGGCTTAACTTTTTGTGAAATATTTTAAGTATCTCCAATGTTAGGAACCCTCCTGTTGAAACTACAGCACCAAAAATGGGGAAAATGTTTACTAAGAAGGAATGCGTTCTGATATATTAGTTTTTCCATGTGTTGATTAAGTTTGTTTTGGAGGTTAGCGTTTCATCCTATGAGTTTGTAGTCTAAATGTCTACGGATAGTCCTCGGTTTACAACCATTCATTTAATGACCATTCAAAGTTACAACAGCACTAAGAAAAGAGGCTTATAACTATTTTTTACACAACCAATGCAGTATCCCCATGGTGACATGATCAAGGTCTGGACGTTTGGCAGCTGGCCTGTATTTATGACAATTGCAGTGTCCCAGAGTCATGTGATCACGTTTTGTGACTTTCTGATGAGCAAAGTCATTGGGGAAGCCAGATTACTTAACAAATGTGTCACTAACTTAATAGCTGCAATGATTCACTTAGCAACTGTGACAAGAAAAGTCATAAAATGGAGAAAAACTCTCTTGACAACTGTCTTACTTAGCAATGGATATTTTGGGCTTAATTGTGGTTGTAATTTGAAGACTACATTACGAGAGGTTTATTGGATTTCCATATGTATCCACCTGTCTATGCACAAAACTTTTCTTTTAGCTATTTAGTTAAAATGCAAATAATATCTTGTTAATGGAATGGGAGGGGTGACTCCTCGTCAACTTTCCAGCTAGGACTGATGAGAGCAGTGCCACAAAATATTGAAAAACTTTAGCCAGTGTGCACATTCAGTTAAATAGAAAGATGAGATATAAAGCGAGGAGGCGTGTAAATAAATAATGCATTGGGGAAAGACTATAAAGGCTTAATGGACCCCTTGTCTATTCAGTGCTAAAGTCCCCCTTGAGTAAAACCTGACTCCTGATAATTCCTGCAGCTTATACGACTTCCTTCCGAGTTATAATGTGATCTTGCTTTTAAGTACAAATTAGATTTAATACTTTTTCGGTTTTTAAAAAAAGTTTAACTTTAAAGTTTTTTTTTTTTTACCTTAGCCAAGGTCAGGTAGGTATAATAGAGTTCCACATATTTGATGATATATACCAGCTTGGTGGGCTTGGTGGCCCAGCCGGGAAGGGGAAGATGGTTCTATGCGAGTGGTAGGTGCATGTTCTCATACACACAGTTTATGCAAATGGAGCTGCACTTGTGAGCACCCACTGCTTGCACTAGGGGAGCTGCGCGCATGGACTCTCCCATCACTTGGTTCCAAATAGGCTGCAGTTCCTAGTGAGCTAGGGCCCAGGGGTTGGGAGCCCTGGTATGCATGTATGTATGTATGTATATATAATATATATTCGTAGATTTTCATGGGTACAGGTATGTAGGTCTTGGTGTGTTTGGGTCTTTTCCCGTATAAGATTGAGAGTATCTTGGCGATGTTTCGGCGAGGTCCCACTCACCATCTTCAGGCTGGTGCTTTCGGCTTCGTGCTTGTGCGAGCAAAGCATGATCGGAGCTGCCGTCTCTCTATAAATACTGGTGGGGAGGTTGGCTGTGTTGTCATTTCTTGATTGGTTGATGGAGTTGATGATTGCAGATTGGCTGGCTTTTTCGTAAGAACATGTGTGGCTGAGGTATTGGCTGTGTGTCTATCAGCCTCCTGTGTTGTAACGACCTGAGTAATGGGCTGTGTGATGACTTTCTGAGTTCTATTGTTGTGACATCCTGGGTCTTGTGCTGTAATCTCCTGGGTCGTTGGCTGTGTTGTAACATCCTGAGGTTTTGTGGTGTAACCTCCTGAATTCCGTGAATGTGATTTGAGCGGGTGGCTGTGATGTGACGTTCCGGGTTTTGGTTTGGCTCTGAGTTTGAGACCTGGCTATGTGTTCATGGCATGTGTCAGTTTGCTTGGTTTGGGGGTCGGGGTGTGTGGCAGCTGGTGATGCAGCCGTGGTCTGGTTTCTGGACAGTGGTTGCCTTTCGTCTATGGGGTGGGTTTGGGTTTGAGTCTGGTGAGGGAGATTGGTGGTGGCGTCATGTGTTGTTTTGGGTCCAGTGTTGGTTTTTGTGGCTGGAACTCATTTGTTGATAAGGGCTAGTTT